ATTGCCTGGGAAAATCATCCTTTATTTTGGATGGCGACTCAGGCTGTGCAGTCTGCCAACCGAATAAATGTGAGTTAGTGTTGGAGCTGATGGAAGGTGAACGGGCTGACCTGGCAGGTAGAACAGGAACCTGGAGAAGAAGGGAGGGGAGCCCCTTCCCAGTGATGCCCCCCCCCACCCAGGTTACTTGATCCTGGCAGGTCAGAGGGGCAGGGAGGGAGTGTTGTCCCTGGCCAGAGAAGCTTGGTCAATGTCAGCATGATGTCCACCTTCCAAGTGTCTTTCCTTCATGCTGGAATGCTGGAACAGGAAGGGACTGGTATTGGTCTACCACTCCCCTCTGTGGCCCAACACAACTCTAGAAGGGAGGGAATACATCCTCGATACTTGTTGGAACGTCTCTGCCACAAAACAGCTGCTTGTCTCACCAGCTCCTGTCTGTTATTGATGTTAAAATTTGTGACACTCAAGGAGGCCAAAACAGTTAACATTAGGAACTGTGTATGCTGGAACAGGAAGGGACTGGTATTGGTCTACCACTCCCCTCTGTGGCCCAACACAGCTCTAGAAGGGAGGGAATACATCTCGGCTGCTGCGTTGAGGTCCCTCGGACTTTTGCTTCTGGAGCACTTCAGCTGGACTAGATCAGATGGAAAACTCTTTAATCTCTCTAGATTGAGAGCAAAGTCCAGCTTGCGGGACTTCCTCTTTGCCGATGATGCAGCCGTTGTTGCCCGCTCTGCTGAAGACCTCCAACAACTCATGAATTGCTCCAACAACTCATACCAAGACTTTGGATTAACAATCAACCTGAAGAAAACACAAGTCATGGGCCAGAGTGTGGACTCATCTCCCTCTATTACCATCTCCACACAAGAATTGGACGTTGTCCATAGCATTGTGGACCTTGGTTCAACGATCTCTGACACTCTCGCCCTGGATAAACGCATTGGCAAAGCAGCCACCATGTTCTCTAGACTCACAAAGAGAGTATGGCTTAATAAGAAGCTGATGGCATATACCAAGATCCAGGTCTATAGAGCCTGTGTCCTGAGCACACTCCTGGACTGCAGTGAGTCCTGGACCCTTTGTGCACGGCAGGAGAGGAAGCTGAACACCTTCCATATGCGTTGTCTCCAACGCATTTTTGGGATCACCTGGCAGGACAAAGTTCCAAATAGAGTAGTCCTAGAATGAGCTGGAATTTTTAGCATGTATTCATTACTGAAACATCAACATCTACGTTGGCTCGGGCATGTCGTGAGAATGGCTGATGGTTGGATTCCAAAAGATCTCCTGTATGGAGAATGAGTGCAGGGAAGCCGCCCCAGAGGGAGACCACATCTGCGATACAAGACATCTGCAAGAGGGATCTGAAGGCCTTAGGAATGGACCTCCACAGATATGAAACCTTGACCTCTGAGTGTTCAGTCTGGAGGCAGACAGTCCATCACGGCGTCTCCCATTTTGAAGAGACCCTTGTCCAGCAGGCCAAGGCAAAGAGGCAGTCCCGAAAGGAGCAAAATCAGGGAGCTGGACAGGGGACAGATTTGTATTTGTCTTCAGTGTGGAAGGGATGGTCACTCTCGAATTGGCCTTCTCAGACGCATGAGATGCTGTTCCAAGTCCTCCATACAGAGGCCATGAACACAGTCTCTCAAGACTGAAGGATGCCTAACTAATGAAATGTCAACTTCCATGTGGATACACAGTGGTCTGGAGTTCCTGGATGTCCCAGCTTTGCCCACCCAGGTCGCAGGATCCACTCTTGAGCTGGAAGGGGCAGGGAGAGGATGCTCTGAAGGTGGTCAGCCTTGAGTCCTCCCTCTCATCATGGTCATATCACCTCCCTCCGAGACCTGAATTCTGCATGACTCTACCCCTTTGTGAGAGACCAAGACCATGATCCACCTCTAAAGACTAGCTTTAACAGCCGGTGGTTATAATAAATATACATCCATTGCCAATATTCCATTCTTAGGCAAGTAATCAAGAAGGTGGTAGTTAACCAGTTGCAGTCATTCTTCGGATAGCCAAAATCCATTTCCATCAGGCTATGAACACAGGTCATTGATTGTCCAGAGAGAGGCAGCGAGGGGAGGTAACCCTGCTAGTCCTCCAGGATTTTTCTGTGGCCTTTGAGACTACAGTATAAACCATGGGGCCCTTCTGAGATGTCTATCAGGTTTAGGACTTTGGGGAGGGATCTGTTCTTGGGTGGCTCCAGTCTTTCCTTGAGGGCTGATCTTAAATGGTCCAGCAATGTCCATTTTCTCGGATCGCCGTTAGGTGGACCCCTCCCCCCAATGTTTTCAAGATCCATAGGAAGCTACTGGGAGACATGCAGAAAGGTGGGGGTTGTTCTGCCTGTATTCTTGAACCCATCTCTCTCTAGGGAGATGCAAACATCTGCTGGGGCCAACAGTACATTTCATCAGCTTCAGTTGATGGCCAGCTAAATCCCTTCCTGGAGAAGAAATGAAAGTTCATGTATTAGTCATCTCTAAAATAACAAACTCTACATAGAGTTGCCCTTGAAGTCAGTATGAACATTTCAGCTGGTCCAAAATGTGGCTACCAGATTGATCATGGGTACCAGGAGATATGAATCCATTTGCCCAGTCTTGGCATGCCTTCGTGGTCTCCCTGTTAGTTTTCTTGCCCAATTCAAGGTACTGGGCATGACCTATCAAGCCCCTAATAGCTTAGGACCTTGATACTTGTTGGAATGTCTCTGCCACAAAACAGCTGCCTGTCTCACCAGCTCCTGTCTGTTATTGATGTTAACATCTGTAACACTCAAGGAGGCCAAAACAGTTAACATTAGGAACTGTGCTTTCATGTTGGTCGCTTCGGTGACCCTGTCCAGCCATCTCATCCTCTGTCGTCCCCTCCTTCTCCTCTTGCCTTCACACTTTCCCAACATCGGGGTCTTTTCCAGGGAGTCTTCTCTTCTCATGAGATGGCCAAAGGACTGGAGCCTCAGCTTCAGGATCTGTCCTTCCAGTGAGCACTCAGGGGGGATTTCCTTCAACATGTATAGGTTTCTTTTCCTTGCAGTCCAGCACCACAATTCAAAAGCATCCGTTCTTTGGCGGTCAGCCTTCGTTATGGCCCATCTTTCACTTCCATACATTGCTACTAGAAAATCCACAGCTTTGACTATTCAGACTTTTGTTGGCAAGGTGATGTCTCTGCTTTTTAAGTTGCTGTCTCGGTTTGTCATCGCTTTCCTCCCAAGAAGCAGGCATCTTTTAATTTCGTGGCTGCTGTCAACCCTTGACCTTAGATGCCCATATTTGTTTTAAATATCTTGTGTTGTTATGTGCCCAAGTCACTTATGGTGACACCCAAAGAATGAGGAATCTCTAAAATGCCCTGTCCTCAGCAGCCCTACTCAGCTCTTGCAAACTCAAGCCTGTGGCTTCCTTGAGTGAGTCAGTCCATCTTGCATTTAATCTTCTTCTTTTCCTGTTGCTTTCAGCTTTTCCCACCATTATTGTCTTTTCCAGAGAATCCTGCCTTCTCAAGATGTGCCTGAAGTAGGACCGCCTCCGTTTCAACATGTTTGTCTCTAGAGACAGATCAGGCTTGATTTGATCTAGGATCCCCTTGTTGGTCCTCCTGGCAGTCCCGGGTCTCCAAAAAGCTCTCGAGTCTGGCACCACTTTTCAAAGGAATCAATTTTGAATTCTATTTCAATGCAGCGAATTAACTAGTGAACGGATTTTAGTTTATTTATGGTATACTGTAATTTTGCATTGTCGATTTTAATAATGATTTGACATGTTGGGAAACCTTCCAGAGAGGTGTTTACACTACTGGAGTGGTTTAAATAATAAATCAGTAATAAATAATAAATAAATAAGAAATCAAGTACATTGTCATTTTTTTTAAAAAAGTGAACTTTTTGTAGTTCTGCCTGCATTTCCGTAACAGAGAATCAGAAAGGTCATCCTTCCTAAGTTCTGGTCCTTCTTGATCTGGATGCAAAGGACTGCATCTGTCAGGGGATTCTGGGATCTGTAGTCCCAGTGAGGGAATTTCTCGGGTTCTGGGCTCCAGTAGGCAGGGGGCCTCCCCCCCCCCCCCTTTTTTTCCCGCCTTCTAGGTGGGAAAGGTTTGGATTGGGGGGGGGGGGGGGCTGTGGCTGGGCGGGGCGGAACAGAGAAAGGAACAGAAATGTTGACCAGATGGATGCAGAGAATCAAACATCTGCTGGAGAGGGAAATGGAAGGCGAGCCTTTATTTTCCCCGTAGCCCAAAGTGACAGCTGGGAAAGGTCGACTAGGTCTTTTGGGGAACTGGGTTGCAGGCAGGGTGGAACAAAAGCTCCCTATTAAGTGGTTCAATGATATTATCCTGCACACAGTTCTGTTCTTTTCTGCTTCAAGATTTGGGGTCGGGTGGGGGAGCCTTTCCAGAATTAGGCCATCAAAACAAAACCCTTCTCTTATTCTTGGCTGTTTGCTCTTTTTGAAGGAGGTGCAGCTCTAAAGAACTGGCCGTTTCATATATATTTTTTTGTCCTTGTTTCGTTTATTG